ATGTTTGAATATCCGTTAGCACTTTTTCACTAAACAAGAATTTGTGAGTTATTTTTCCGCCGAATAGTTAACTTTTGTAAATCAAAATTACTAAAAGTGTTGTCTTTTTTTAAAATTATTATTTGAAAACAAATAATATTGTATTCGATGTTATACTATTGGTTTTTGGAAACGAACTAACTGTATTTGGTGATTCATATGTAGCACGTGTAAACACTTTGTGTTTCCTAAACATATTGTTTGCTTAAATCTCATCAACATCATGTTTCTTGACAGATGTCCTGAAGATGAAACGTACCTAGTTCCGAAACGTTGACAGTAAACAAATAATTAAATAAAGAAATTGTTTATTAAAAACTTTTCTTGTTTTTTATTTTGTATTATTTTTAGATTCTTGTTCGAAACTCTACAAAATATACACAAATCCAAGACTACCATTCAATATATATATATATATATATATATATATCTTCTATATATATAAAAATAAGTCGGGTTTTCCTTCCTGACGAAATAACTCTAGAACGCACGAACCGATTTCGACAATTTTGCATTCGTTGGAAAGGTCTCGGGCTCCGCAAGGTTTATAGCTAATTTACAATTGACCATAAGGATACCTCAATGTACATCTAATTTATGCCAAATTGCACTTGTATATTTTGAGGAGCTCTTCAGAACGTACCGTGCAGAATAAACATTTGAAACTTTGGTTTTATATTTTTCAATAAATGTACTTTGAAAATAAAATTAGAAAAAAGTAAGTCCTTTAACAAATTTCTGAGTAATTTACATCTAAGCATGATGATACCTCAATGTACTATTAATTTATGTCATTTGCACTTGTGAATTTTGAGGAGCTCTTCAGGGCTAACCGTATAGACTAGATAATTAAAATTTTGGTATTATATTATTCATTGTATGTAATTTAGAAATAAAATTAGAAAAAATATGTTCCTTAACAAATTTTGAGTTATGAACCATTAACCATTTGGATACCTCAATGTACTATTAACTGATGTTAAATTGCACTTGTGAATTTTGAGGAGCTCTTCAGGCCGTACCGTGCAGAATAAACAATTGAAATTTTGGTTTTATATTTTTCAATGCATGCACTTTAAAAATAAATTTATAAAAAAGTATGTCCTTTAACGAATTTCTGAGTAATTTACAATTAACCATGACGATACCTGTACTATTAATTTATGTAATATTGCACTTGTTAATTTTGAGGAGCTTCTCAGGACGTACCGTGTATACTAAATAATTCAAATTTTGGTAGGGTGTTCTTCAAAATATACACTTTTAAACTAAAATTAGAAAATAAAATGTTTCCTAACAAAAATTTTGAGTAATTTACAATTACATGACGATACCTGAATGAACATATAATTTATGTTATACTGAACTTGTAAATTTTGAGGAGCTCTTCAGGACGTACTGTAAAGAATAAATAATTGAAATTTTGGTATTATATTATTCAATATATCTAATTTAGAAATAGAATTAGAAAAAAATATGTCTCTTAACAAATTTTCGAGTAATTTGTACTTAACTTTGCAGACAGCACGATGTGTATTTAATTTAAGTTATATATTAATCGTAATATTTCGGGAGCTCGTCAGGACTTACTATTCGGGATAAATAATTGCAATTTTGGAATTATATTCTCTAGTGTATATACTTTTGGAATAAAATTACAAGATTATGTTTCTAAACAAATTCTCGAGTAATTTGTACTTAACTTCGTCAATACTTCAATGTACTATTAATTTATGTTAAAATGCACTTGTAAATTTTAAGAAGCTCGTCGGGACTTTCTATGCAGAATAGACATGTGAAATTTCGATAATATATTCTCCAATACATAAGCTTTAGAAATAAAATTAGAAAATAAAATGTTTCTTAACAAAATTTTGAGTAGTTAACCATTAACTATGACGATACATCAATGTACATTAATTTATGTTATCAAGCAATCGTAACTTTCAAATACAACTTTGCTCGCACCGTTTTTACAATACAAGTCCTCTGCAAAAACAGCATAGGCAAAGTTGTACATTTGATATATTTTTTAGTGTCACGTGATATATTTTTATTTTTACTCGCTTTTTACTTTTAGTTGCTGTAGGGCTTAATGATGTTAGACAATATTGTAGATTAATTAATTTTAGACCATTTTTCTTTAGCAAACGGTTTAAAAGTTACGGCACAAATAATACATAACAATTAGGCGTACAACTTTTGTTCCGCCGTTTTTGCAATACGATTTGTACGCAAAAAACGGCGGAAGCAAAGTTGTACAATAATTAATAATATATTAAATAATTCTGGATACTCAAATATATATATATACATATATACAAATTATTTTTCACAATATATAAATTAATATAACAACCAATTAATATATTAACATATTGGTGTACAACTTTCGTTCCGCCGTTTTTGCAATACGATTTGTTTGACAAAAGCGGCGGGAGCAAAGTTGTACAATAATTAATAATATAATAAATAATCCAGGATACTAATCAAATATATATATATATATATACAAATTATTTTTTACAATATATAAATTAAAAATTAAACTTACTTTGTCCACGTGCTCGAACAAAATTCTGCACCCCAAGCCTTCGCCATTTTTACTTTTTGTAACTAAAAATGCCGAACTAAAATCCAATTTTTGTCCAACACTTTCAACACCGAATTACCACTTAATCCTAGCACTTAAAGTCACAGTAAAACTTCTGTCCGATTTCCGAATAATAACTAAATAATAACTGACTATTGTCTAAAATCTAGTCAACACGTTCGACGCCAAATTTAATATTTTATTAAACAAAAACTATGTCCATTAAAATCATCGTCGTCTCCAAGTCTCCAAAGGTGAAGGGTTGCGCGCGCATCCGAAGACAGTGTTAACACTTCTGAAAAATAAAATTTAATAGTATTAAAAATTGGAGGAGGAGTTAGTGAAATGGCGCGTAATTTGAATTTGAATTTGGTAGAAAAACATAAATTTTGTTTAAATTAATCGGACTCTTGAGGTTGTTGTTAATTAAATATATTACATTTGATGTTTTTAATTATTTTGTATACTTTGTTATTCGACAAATTTGTTCAAAATTAATTAATCTACAATTTAAAAAAATTAAAATCTATAATTAAAAAAAATTTCTTTACCAAATTCAAATTCACTTTTCACTAATTTTTACTAAATAACTTGTATATATGTATATGTATATGAGTATCCTGGATAATTTAATATATTTTTAATTATTGTACAACTTTGCTCCCGCCGTTTTTTGCATAATTTTTTTAATAAATTTTTTAATTTTTTAAATAAAAAAATTAGATACATGTTGATACATACTTGTTAATATCAATTTTAGTATTAAAAACTATTAAGCTAAACTCGGGTATTGTCTGTTCCGAGCAATTTTAATTAATTCTAAACATTCTAATTGTTTTTTTATTTAATGAAATATGATTTAAAAAAACTTAGAACGTCTATCGAATTGCTACTTATTAGACTTGTCCTTTGTTTACTCGCAATATTTCCTGAAATAGAAAATACTTTCAATCTTCGAACCAAATTATGCTTAATTGTTTTTAAAGCCTGATATAATAATTCTAAGCTTTTTATTCTTTTATTTGTAACTTCTAGGGTTTAAAAATTTTTTTTTAAGTTTGAGTAGAGGCTCAAAAGGAAAATACCTCGAGATTTAATATAGTTTATTTTTATATATATATTTTTTTTGAAGTAATAATTCAATACAGAATACAAAAATAATTCAAAGTCGTTTTATTCAAAACTATTATATCGGAACACAAAAAGTGTTTCCTAGGAAAAGTTGTAAATTTATCTAGTTTTACCCTATCTAACCAGAAAAGGAAGCTTTCATATGAAATTTCTGAGTTCTTTGACAAAAACCAAAAAAATGTCCCGAATTTTCTATATTTACATCGATCTATATCATAGAAATCTAGATCAGCAACTCGCCCATAGGAAATCCATCCCTCTCATCCTAATATATATTAAATTCGAATCCTCTTAAGTCCCTTCCAAACAATTTCATCATCTTCTACAAGAAGCTCTTAATACAATAATCTTACCTCGTGCCCACACAACAATACACACACACGTGTATGTCCTAAGTGAGTAATTTAAGATGAAGAAAACTCCGACCAGAAATTTGGAAATTCTGGAAAATGATGTGTCGTTAGTGAAACTCACACAGAATATTTAATAAGTGTTATGTGATATCGAGATTGTGATCTTGGTGGAAATTTAATTAAGAAATTAAGGGAAATTTTGGTACTAAGTGACTTTTGACAGTCGAGGAATAATTTAGTTAGGCATATCTTGGGTGAAATACAAGTTGAAATCTATCAGACATAATTGTAGTAAGTAATTTTCGTAGGAAAACTTGTAAGCACCTAATACTAATAGTTAGAGCACCCACGATTTATATGTGCTATAACTTTAAAAGTATTTGTTCAATATGAATTATATATTCGATAAATTTGTACAAAATTAAACTATCTACTATATTGTCTAACATCATTATGCTCTACAGTAACTCGGTATACTTTAAAATATTAGGTTGTCAAATATCTCCCTTCCGCCTTTTTGTCTTAGAGCAAAAAAGCGGAAGGGAGATATTTGACAACCTTATATAATTTAAAACTAGTCAAGTATACAACTTTGTTTTTGCCGTTTTTGCTATACGAGTTGTATGAAAAAAGGATTGCCCTTGTGATTTGTTGATGGTCATGGCAAATGCGAGACGTATTGGAAATTGAATTCTTTTGAATTCAAACGGCAGATCGGTTGGGATCATCGGTATTCTCGGAATGAGAACTTCCTCACCTTTAAATTTTCCTATCATTATGGTAGCGTAAATTACATTGTTCATCAATTTTGTAACCACCAAACGCGTACCGTTGCACAGTTTTGGTTGGTTTATGTTCCTAAGCATTATTACTACGGAGCCAACCTTTAGGAGTAAATTGTGCGGTGGTAAGCCAGGCACGTCCAAAGAATTTAAAAATTCAATTGGATAGTTGGTGGCTTCATCTTCATTTGTGACGCAATCAATAGATTTGAATGAAAGCATTGTTCCAATTATTTTATTTTGAATTATGTGGTTTAGGTCATCTACATCTTTATTCTTTGCTGCTAAAATTGCCCGCTCACTCAACCATTCATTATTTTTGCTATTAGAAACAATTTCTGGAAATACATTGTTGATAAGTTCGTCTTTTGATGAGACAAAATTAATATAAATATAAATATAAATATAAATATAAATGACAAATATATTTGTAAAAATTTATTCTGTGTATCTTCAAAAGGTAGTAATGATCCAATTCGATGATGAATTTGTCCTTGTATCTACAAAATAAAAACCCGACAGTATTAACTGTGTTATAAAATCTTTTTTCGGTGGGAGAAAAAGTTAAGAATTTGCTAATAGATGAAGTAAGTTATTCTTTAACTACATTCTATATAGGTACAAAAATAAGTACCTTAAATGTCGGATTAAATCCTCGTTCTTCGATAATATCTGCTCCAAATGACGTCATTTGGAAACAACCATTGTATTTTTGAGTATTAGCAAGAAAGTGGCGTGATTCTTGTGTTTCGCCACAAAGCAATGAATACAATGGTTCAGGTGGCGGAGTCAACGATGGCAATTTGACTTTACCATTAAGGCAGCATAATCCAGGCGTTTCTTGGGAAAACTTCAATGCACCACAATACTTGCAAACTACGTCCATTTTACCAATGCAGACGCTAGGATGCAAGCTATAATCATAGCTGCAATCGTATTGAAATGCTTCTCGATTCAAATTTCTTCTTCTGCATCGCAAGTTAACTATTTGTTGATCTATGTTGTTACCTCGAGCACGAAGTCGAGCCATTCTTTCGCGTTGCTGTTCACGTGCAATTCTTTCTTGTTCTTCAGTTCTTGCATTTACAGTATATTGCAGTCTTCTTGCATTACTGCTTTGTCGGGAAAGATTCGATCGTCTTGGTCGCGGCATTATTAATGAAACTTCACTTCACCTTATTTATATATATATATATATATATATATATATATATATATATATAAAACCAAGAACTAATATTCATTCACTAACTAATATTCAACATGAGGTAATAGAGGTTAGAAACACCGAATGACATTTGACAATCGAATGCAAATGTCATGGATGAAATCATTGATAGTATCATAGATTGAATAAACTACATGGATAGTTTATAAATAATTAATAATTATCATTAATTATATACATGGATAGTTTATAAATAATTAATAATTATCATTAATTATATATAATTAATTTTAAATTAGAATGAAATAAAGGGATAAAAAGTATCCTATGTCCTTCTCCTGACTCTAAACTACCTCCCTGCCAATTTTCATCTAAATCGGTTCAGCCGTTCGTGAGTTATAAGTGGTAGCACATAAGGCGATCCTCTTTTATATATATAGATATACAGTAAACCCTCGCTTTACGCGGCAAGTGCGTACCGTGCAGTATAGGAACCGTGCTATAAGAAACTCGTATTTAACATACAATTCAGGCTAATTCGTAGTGCGTTCTATGGAACCTTACATAGTGCAGTATGGGAACCGTGTTATGAGAGACTCAGAGTTGGTACAAATCGCACCATTTTTATCGCGTTGTATGGAGACCAAGAAATACAACTTGAAGTAGGAGAAATACGGACGAAATGACGTAAATGACGTGACGAAATTGACACCTTATTCAAAAATTGGCGCGACGCAGTAATCAGCTCAAACGTGTTCTTAGGCGGCTATTATACAATCAGGCATGTCTAAAAGATAAAAGTCGATAACAAAATTTACAACAATACCCTTTTGCACAACGAACTTATGGGCTGTTGACCAAATACCGTGTAATAAGAAGTCCGTGTAGTCGGAGGGATGTCGGATTTTTAGCTCCGTGTAGTATGGGAACCGTGTACCCAGAGTGCCGTGTAAAGCGAGGGCCTACTGTATATATATATATATATATATACTAGCTGACCCGGCAAACGTTGTTTTGCCATCAAAAATATGTTGCCCCTTTGCAGTGAAAATTATAGTTATTATTTGAACAACAACAACATGGATCAACCTGGATCAATACTATTGATAAAAATTTCCTTAAAATGTATATTAATAAAAAAAATTAAACGATAAATTAAAGTTTAGAAAAAATTTATAAATACATTTACTTATAAATGTATTCGATTTAAGTTGATTGTGAAGATTTTCTATTAGTATCTTTATTTTTCAATTTTTAACCAGTGATATATATATATATATATATATATATATATAAATATATATAAATATATATATGTATTATATATTTAAATATTATTCAATATACACTTCTAAATAATCGTCGTTTTAATTACAAAGAATTATAATATATAATATTCTAAACAAATTTACTATTAATTTAAAACACCACCTATATAACTTTCAACATGCATATATTTCATAAATACCATTATGCAATTGACTGCATAATATTTTTCTAAACTTGAATATTACGATATATAAAAATATATACGATATGATTAATTTAATATATTACATACATTATGCTTACTTATTTATGCATACATTATTCTAATTTCAATTATTTACTTGTTTCATATAGCTGTATCACATATTCCCATTCCATTATTATTACTCAATAATGAATGCTTTTATAAATCTAGCTTAAAACTAATTGATGCACAATATTTTGGACCAAATCCTCTTTGGTCAACATATAATTACCTGTGCAAAAAACATCGATTTTCTAATTCAAGTCCAAAAACGGTCATTGTTTGTCCCTGAGCCTTGGTGATAGTCATCGCAAATACTGTTACCTCTTAAATGGTATCGTGCAATCTGATGGTATCGAAGAAATTCATTCGAAAAGAATCACTTCTTATTTAAAACTTTCTTGCAGCACATGGCTTCTTTTTTATTTCTAAAGTTCATTGCCTGAAAATATTGGAGCATGTTTTTGTCTTCGTCAAAATTGGGCTGTAATATTAGCTCATTTTATTCATTGTAGTTTCCTGCTTGATGAATTCACTATGATACACTTCTATGTTTTAATACTTACATGGTTATTTTTCAATAGACTCAATAGTGCACCATCATTACAATTAACTTAATTAATAATAGTCAGAACCAACTGCACGTTAATCATCCATAGATAATATCCATTTGAATATTTGAATATTTGAATATTTGAATATTTGAATTTTACCACTGTGCTTTATTAGATTTAAATGTTATTAGAGTTAGTTACTGTTAGCTAGGAAAATGATAAATTTGGTTATAATGCTTGATTTGTATCGTGTAATAATATAACGGTGTTCAATATATTAATATACATACCGTGAATGGTGATATTCTCTGCTAAAACTTTCAATAAGCATTTGACATATAATAACCTAACCTCACAAATATATTTCACCGTATGCTTATTATAAAATCACAATTGGCAACATAAAAATACATAATATGTTTCCAACCGTCACCGTAGCTCATAGAAGCGCATCGTAATGCGTTAACTCCTGCATTGAATTCGTGGCTCTATGGTTTTTGTCTAGAGTGGTAGACCCTCGACAGAACTCAAACTATGGCGAAATGTCAAAATGTTTTTTAATTAAATAATATAAAATTTCGGCTATTAATTGAGATTTTTATTATATCCTATGTCCTAAATGGGATCCAATTTTAAATCGGTTCAGTATTTTAGGCGTCCATAGAGGACAACGCCTGTGACACTAAAGGTATATATATATATTAACTACTAAATCATATATTAATATATATATATATATTTTGTAGAGTTTCGAACAAGAATCCAAAAATAATACAAAATAAAAAACAAGAAAAGTTTTTAATAAACAATTTCTTTATTTATTTGTTTACTGCCAACGTTTCGGAACTAGGTACGTTCCATCTTCAGGACATCTGTCAAGAAACATAATCTTGATGAGATTTAAGCAAATAATATGTTTAGGAATAGAAAATAGATTTTTCTTAAATAATAAATTAATTGTAACAAATAATAATGTACAGAAATATGATAATATGATCAAAATGAAAATGATAAAAATAAATGAGTGGATTATGAGAACAGGATATTAAAAATGATAGAAATTTTTTGAAAGTTATGGAAAATTTTTTTAAGAAAGGATTAATGATAAAATTGAATTAATTACCTGTATGTTTGAATATCCGTTAGCACTTTTTCACTAAACAAGAATTTGTGAGTTATTTTTCCGCCGAATAGTTAACTTTTGTAAATCAAAATTACTAAAAGTGTTGTCTTTTTTTTAAATTATTATTTGAAAACAAATAATATTGTATTCGATGTTATACTATTGGTTTTTGGAAACGAACTAACTGTATTTGGTGGTTCATATGTAGCACGTGTAAACACTTTGTGTTTCCTAAACATATTGTTTGCTTAAATCTCATCAACATCATGTTTCTTGACAGATGTCCTGAAGATGAAACGTACCTAGTTCCGAAACGTTGACAGTAAACAAATAATTAAATAAAGAAATTGTTTATTAAAAACTTTTCTTGTTTTTTATTTTGTATTATTTTTAGATTCTTGTTCGAAACTCTACAAAATATACACAAATCCAAGACTCTACCATTCAATATATATATATATATATATATATATATATATATATATATATATATATCTTCTATATATATAAAAATAAGTCGGGTTTTCCTTCCTGACGAAATAACTCTAGAACGCACGAACCGATTTCGACAATTTTGCATTCGTTGGAAAGGTCTCGGGCTCCGCAAGGTTTATAGCTAAGAAAATTAGTTGTGCATGGCATCGTGCCTTAATGCAAGCTGCTGGAACTTCACGCACCGTAATTAAAAATTCGAGTAATAAAAATAATCAATAACTGTTTTAAATAATTTCAAATAGATTATCTTTTATATATATAAAAATAAGTCCGGTTTTTCTTCCTTGAAAAATAACTCCAGAACGCACGAACCGATTTCGACAATTTTGCATTCGTTCGAAAGGTCTCGGGCTCCGCAAGGTTTATAGCTAAGAAAATTAGTTGTGCATGGCGTCGTGCCTTAATGCAAGCTGCTGGAACTTTACGCACCGTAATTAAAAGTTCGAGTAATGACATTAGTGAGAATTATCAGAATTATGCTTGGTTAAGTCAACGAGCAATTCTTGCCGCAAAGAATAATGATGTACACGCCCTGAATTTCACCATACAATCAAAAATTGCTGGCGATTTGGTGACATACCGAAGATTCTGACTGGTTTTCCGTTTGACTTCAAACGATTGCAATATCCAGTTCGCCTTGCGTTCGCAATAACATGTCGCAAGGCCAATTGCTTAGTGTTTGCGGGATAAATTTCAAATAGATTATTTAGAAAATCATTGTTTTTCACATGAGCAGTTATACGTTACCTGTTCACAAGTTGGAAAACCATCCGCTTTGTTTGTGTTAACGTCAGACCAAAAAACAAAAAATGTGGTTTTCCAAAGATCACTTCCATAAATGGATAATTTGCGGGTTCACTTTCATTTACTTAGAGAAGTTCAAGTAAAAAACACTTCATTTTTGTAATCAAAATAAATTCGTTACTGTTGTATAATAAAATCAAATTTCTCCTTTTAAAATATAAAACAAACAAAAAATTTCTTCATCTTTCTCACGAAACTATCTGGTGGCGAAACGGAGTTCGTCGGGTTTGCTAGTATATATATATATATATATATATTACTCCGAAATTTGTTAAAGGACTTACTTTTTTCTAATTTTATTTTCAAAGTACATGCATCCAAGAATATAAAACCAAAATTTCAATTGTTTATTCTGCACGGTACGTCCTGAAGAGCTCCTCAAAATCCACAAGTGCAATATAACATCAGTTTTTAGAAACTTTTCTTCTAATATAAAGACAATAGGAGTCATTAAATAACAAAAAATTACGATTGCCA